ATGGGTAATAGTGACGCGGTGGTTTAGTTGCTGTCACCGGCGTACTTTGGATCCTTTTGGTCTCAGGTTCGAGCCCCGGCAGCTGTTCCCCAACTTTGGTGGTAGACAGCTTTGCTGTCGCCCGGTTCTATACCACGCCAAAACTAGTGGGACCTTATGCGGTTACCATCGCGGTTACCAGTACGTTTTCCTGACTACGGGGTTCCACCCCGTCTGCTGTCTATCGCACACCGGTATGGAATAAAAATTTTGTGGAATTACAAAACCAACCCAGGTTGAGTTTTTCATTTGTTCGAACTTATCTGAATGCAAATGGTTGTTTGGCAGATCGAAGTTTTTATGTTGGTATTGTGAAACGTTCAGTAGCCCCGGTGGAATTCGAACCCACGCATGGACGCTGCCCACGCTTTTGTACAGCACACACTCCCCACCAGCTGAGCTATAACCAGACCACACCGACAGAGCACGGATCCTTTCCCATTCGAATTATCCACCCAAATTACAGAGAGGCATATGGCATCCACCAGTTAGCATGTAAGCTGACTGTCCGGACAGGTTTTCCTTAGAATTCACCGGAGTCCACCGAATGAACATCATCTGAATGTCTCCATCATATGTTATTCAATAGGTTATAAGAATATGTGAAGGCAAATGAATAGGTGAAAGAATTGTTACTATTTGCACCAAATTGTACACAGAATAGCGTATCACGTATATGCACACACGCATACACACTCACTATTGGTTGCCTTTGTATCTATGGTAGTCGTACCATTAGTGCTAGTTTATTGTTTCAAACAGAAACTAGTGGAACATTGTTGCAATAAACTGTGAAACCAGTGGGTGTGTGTGTGTGTTTGGGGGCAATGACTACAGGGCAGTTTGCCTAGATTCATCGAAAAAGAAATAAATTGATCTGGTATTACCGTTCGTGTCCGATTGCGTCTATTCCCCAGTGGTAATAATTGAGTTCGCCTAAAGTAATCTATACATTTCTGTAATTTCCGGAGGCGCTAAACTACGATTCGCGGAACTAAGCGAGATCAGGTCGAGGATATGAGAATACTCAATCATTTGGTTAATCATAACGAGGTAGGCTTTGTTTCACAGGTTAGGCGGTCGTTCACTGTCCGCTTTCATATCTGAGGGCCTTTCATTTGTCAATTGAACTTTCCGCAGTACAATTGTCGGTAGAAGTCATCGTGACATACCGGAATTGAGCCCCGGCAAACTAGGAGTCATCACCACCACCATAATCATCATTTGAACCGTCATCACCATCACCATCATCATCATCATCATCACCATCATCATCATCATCATCATCATGGACGAAGGGACTCAGTCCTGTTGAGATTGTTTTACCGCACACCAAAGATACTCAAACAGGCATTCAGTTCGCGACTAAAAGAGCTGTCCAGATCAGCGAGCACAATACTTTTGATCCTATCCAAGCAACAGAAAGGTTCTTTGTGATCTCTGAAGTGATTTATACTTTAAAAATAGTAGGAGAAACTTAGTTTGCTATTATTCCAAAAACTAAATTCGTTTATAAAAAATGACAATGAGCTTAGCAATTAAAGATCGATGAACTCCCCAGACTTTTAGTGATACGTTCATGTGTGTGTGTGTGTGTCACGATTGTGCTGCTTTCGATAAGCCGCTTTTCATTTCGGATAGCTAATTCTCAACGGATGATCAAGTCGATCTACATGGAGCTGTACAGCTTCTCACATCATTGCCTTGTCTGAGTATGTTTTTTTAAAATCAAGACTAGACGAGGAAAAAGCATGCAAGCAAGCAAACAAACAAACAACAGACGGCGAGTTGAATTTCCATGTTGTTATTGTTTTTGCATTCCCTCCCTAGTAACCAGCATCGGCGTTTGGGGTATGCAAACTGTTCTAACCATACAACCAGGTGTCCCGGTTCGATACACCTGTCACAGACGGGTGCTCTCTACTGGCTTCAATATAGTCGAACAATTTCATCTAACCTCCTTCAAACGTTGTGTCCATCTTTCCCGAATCAGTCAATCAGTCTCTCTCTCTCTATCTCTCTGGCAATGTGGGAATGAAGGGTACGAATTAAAATAACGTCTCCCGCCAACGTGGTTCGACGGGAGCACGAGAGAAGAGAGGCATTAAATTTGATTAATACGACCGAGAACCAGAACAATCAATCCCCTGCGTTAAGCTTTGTTTCTTCACTTTGTGCTACTACCTACTCGTGCAGCCTCCTCCCTCCCCGTTTACTATTAAACCCAAGATCAGTGCTGTTTGTGGCACGATGATGCCAAGGTGATGATCGGGCAAACGCATTTGTTCGTCAAATTTTAGTCTAATCAAACACACCTTATTTCTCATCGTACGTTAGAGGGTAGGGAGGCCCACGGGTTGCTCGGTTGGAAATCAAATCAGTGACTACGAAGATGTGAGCTATAGTCGGGCGCGTGCGACTTTTAGTATACATATTCACTTCGTTCCCCTCGCGATTAACCGATTTTCCGTACGAAGAACCAAGTTGCACACCTGGTTCCATTTTA